TTTCCTGGAATTAAAGGAGTCCACCTTACAGCACCACACAGGTCATTCCAGAGGAAAAATAACCTAGGAAGATGCAACGGCACATAGAACATTTGAAAGATGTGCATACTTTAGAACAGCAGTTTGGAGTAGCCTTCCAAATTATCTGATTCATCCCTGGCTAATACTGTAGTGGCAAACAAACAAGACTCCACCCTGCCTTCATCTCCATTTCCCAAGGGTCAAGAAAATATATGCTGACCAAATGCTCCTCGAACACTCCAACAGCAGCTTTCTTTTTTTTCCTTTCCTTCCAGACAAAAGATCGTTGGTCTTCTCTGGCTCATCCGTTTATCATCATAATTTTGGCTGTGTCTTAGGAGCAGTTACAGCTGTGCTGGACACTGTATGAAGTCCTCCAAATGATTCAGATGAATAATTGCATTCCACATTATCTTCATTAGATTTGTTTCCCATCCCCCTCACATACCAGTGTTTCTCCACGTGAATTATGGAGCTTCAGTTCTGGGAACAGATGCAAAGGGACACATTCCCCCTGTGCATGGGTGCTGCAGGAGATAGTCTGGTCAGCTGGGTGCTCCATCCATGAATCCACAGACCCTGTCATGGCTACCGGGAATGAGAGCTCTGGATGCACTTTCTCCATATCCCCATCCGGCCCCTGCTATCCCCCTGGTCCAAGGTTCTTATTCCTCAATCAAGGGAAGGTTGCAATATCCCAAACCAACACTTGCATGTTGGGAGAAAGATGTGCTGAGAGCGGAGCTGCTGAAATATTTGCCAGCATTTCCCCTACTCCTAAATATTAATTTGTGAGACCTCCTGGAAAGGTTATTTATTCACTGGAAAGCATGGTTGTTTCACATGCAGTTCATGATCATTAGGGTTTAGTAATTAATATTTGTAAATATTTGAAATCTTTGCAAGTATATCCTGGATCTCAGCCATATGGCATAATACTTAAGCTCCCACAACCCTCTACCTCTTGGTTGGATCCTGGCTTAGTCATATTTAGAGTAGACCTATTGAAGTTGGTTCCATTGAAGTTCCTGTTGTTTCTGTGGGTGTATTCTGAATATGACTAAACCTGCATCCAACTTTACAGTGAGCCTGAATATCCTTTCTCCTTTGAAAATTCACTTGAGGAGTGGTGTTGATGTTGGGAAAACCACCCCATGCTCACCCTGAAATCAAATTAGACCATTTATTTGCTCCTTAAATCGAAGAATCCAATAAGATGTGTCCTTTGGACTCCTTTTGTTGGCTGTGCATCAGTGTCATTTTCGGCTGTGGATCTTGGGAACTTTTAGTCCAGCCCCCTGATTCCTGGCACTCCATTAGCATCTTTACTTACTTTTAATTCAGGAAGAAGGTGCACCACCATCAGGACTTTCCAATCTGAGGGAGCCCTCTGCTACTTTGACTACCTTCCCCTAAGTCAAAGAATTTTCCCTCAGGACAGGTAGCAGCAAATGGACTTAATTTGGCATGTGGCCAAATTATTGTTACTATTATTGCTCTTTATTATATTTATAACCTTCCTTTTTCCAGCTAGGAATCTAGAATCTTCCTCTTCCTCTCCATTTTATTCTCACAAAAACCCTGTGAGGTAGGCTAGGCTGAGAGTAGCCCAAAGTCACCCAGGGAACTTATGGCTGAATCGGGAGTCTCCCAAGTCCCAGCACACCCCCTAACCACTGTGTCACACAAGTGGCGAAGGGATGAGTTCACAACTGGCCCTGGTCACCTCAGCTCTGCTCACAAGCTGGGACACCCCCAAGATCAAGCACAGTTGCTTCAAATCTGTCATATATTCTACATGGGGGCAGGATGCATTTTATAGGAGAAAAAGTATGGGGCAGCAGATGCTTTCCTCAAAACTGCTCCCCAGCTCCTTTTGCTCCACCACGTTCTGAACGAAACGTTACTTTGCATGCACAGATCTGGCTCCTGAAGGGAAAGTAGCTGGCCCAGAGGACAGTTAAGAAACCTTCCCTTTCTTCTTTCTGCTTTCTCCACAGTAAAGAAAACTTCCCACAGGGTGCTTTGCAAAGGAGGACAGGCCTTCATATCTTCTTAGCAAAGAAGGATGAGATCTGGAAGTATTTACTCTTTTTCAGACTGTGCTACAAAGCATTGGAGACTAGCAAGCTGATTTTAAATATAAAATGCAATTTTCAGGATTCTGGAGAAAAATTACACGCTGTGGTACTGTGATGACCATGAAAATCCTCAGCATCTGATCATCAATAGGCAAATGACTTAAGCTCGGTACCACTAGTTTATCACCTTCAGATAAATACACTGCAATTGCTTGATTATAGGAATTATAAACACTGAGGGTTGGATCCAGATTGTGTCCTATTAAAGAAAAGCTCACTGAAATTAATGGGACTTAAGATGTGATTTATTCTGGTTATTAAAATGTGATCATACACAGAATTCATGTAAATGGCATCAAAATCAATTCAGTCTATCTGAACTTTTCTACAAATTGTGGTCCTAGTGCTAGGAATACTTAGGACACTCCTATCTGCGTCAGCCAAATCAAAACACGGAAGAGATTTATTTTGCCCATCTACAGGACCCCGAATGAACTTCACAGGTCAAGAGTTCACGTTTTATGTGAAAATGAATGTCATATGACTGCATGGGAGTGAGGACTCGTGACCTGCAAGTAGGCCCATGACATGGCTTTATGTTGCTTTTAAGCACAAAACTTTTGCTGTAAACTGATTCTCCACTGGCAGAAAATTAGGATGCTCTTAGAGATAATTCTGCTGCTATGGTCTGGTGTAAGCCATGCTTCAAAGGCAAGAGTGATGCTAAACAAGCAGCCATCCCCTTAAAAACACAAGGGAATAAAATGGGTTGCTTCAAACAAATGGAATTTCATTGTCAGAGAGCAGCTCTGCGTGCATAGGGTGGCCACATGTCATTCTTTACACAGGACAGTCCTCAATTCGAAGGTCTGTCAGTGGGCTGCCCTCTGTTTTGAAGGCCTTCTGCATTTGGAGGGCTGTTCAGGCCAAGTCAAGTACCGCCAGGAGAGCAGGGCCTTGAAGGCAGCTGACTAAGCGAGGGACTGAGGTCAGCTGCTCCTAGTTGACTAGGATATGGTGGGAAGGACTGTATTTCTACATAAAGTGTCCCTCCATCTGTAGGACAACCTCCTCCTGATGCCCACCTGGCACTACATTTGCCATTTTTTCATTGCCCGGTCAGGACAGTCCTCTTCATGGAGGCCTCCACATCATTCAGGGGCCTGACACAATTAGTCAGGTGCGCTTTACCCTTTTTAATTGCCTTTTTTATTGTCTTTTGCTGTGTTAATGTTTTCATGCTTTTAAAAATTAATTTTAACTCTTGCTGGTTGTTTTTATCTTGTGCATTTTATTGTTTCTATACCTTTGGCAAACCATCCAGAGAGCTTCAGCTAAGGGCAGTACAGAAATGAAGGGAAATAAGAGGGGTGGAAATGAGGCAAAGGGCCTTTTCTCCTCCCACTTCCCATCTCTGGAACTCCCTCCCTGGGGAAATTCACCTGGCATCATCTTTGTTTTCAGCAACAAGTAAAGACATACCTTTTAAAGCAATGCTCTAATGTCTTAGCCCTTTGTGAGCACTGATGGACCTTAATTGGTTTTATTATACTGTACTATTTTTATGTCTTATGATCTTATTCCTTTAACTGTTTATTGTGTGAGTTACCCAGGGAGACTGTTCTGGGAGTTATAGGCAGCATATAAACATGTGGGTGGATGAATGGAATCAACAACAACGATATATAAAAATAAATTATATTGCACCTGTACAAATGCATTGGCTGATGCCTATGTTATGCACTTTTTATGCAGACTTATTCTTTTGGGAGGGCAATTGGTAAGTGGCCACCCTAAAAGTAAATCAAGGCAGAAAATCCCATCCACACACCCACTTACAGGGGCCATTCACCCTTACTGAAATGGGGAAGATATTCAGCAACATTTGTGGGGCAGGCAAATCGCAAGGGCTTTTGGTTTGCCTAAATTCAGAGGCAGGGAGGGTTAACAACAAAAAAGGTCTTTAACAACAACAAGGACAAGCAGACTCACCCCCAGTGCAAATGGTGGCTTGGCTGCCCCAGGCACATTCCTGGGCAGAATGCCCCACAGCAGCTCAAGAGCCCAATTCCATTCGGGAGAAGCCTTTGGGCAGACTGAAGGGGAAACCAGGTAGAGCCAGAGGAGAAACAGGCTGGCCAAAATGTCAAAATGGACAGGATATTTTTGCATAAACCCCTCAACCCTGCCCTATGCGAACAATGCTATAGCCTTACATCAATCAATCCATCACGGAGTCAATCCTGGGAGCTGGAGCTGGATCATAGCTGGCCTTCCTCATCAAGGAAAATCTGTTAATAACATCCAAGGGAAGTTCATTTCGCCCCCTTCTTCACGCTTCATACATGTGCTTCAGATAAGTAAGTGCAAACAGGAGGGAAGCTTTCAGTGTTGCCTGCTATCTCCGCACTAGAGACTGAGCAAAAAGAGAGGGAGTGAGAAAGAGGTTATAGATTTCTAACTTTATAGTTGATTTATATGCTCACAGTGAGCTTTCTGGCTTAGAAGTACCAAAACAAAAAAAGTTGTTAAAATGCAAAAGCCTGCTGCAAATAAAAATGAAATACCAGATTCTATTTCCTATTTCCATGGAGAACTAAAAAAAATCAGGGAACACAATGAACACAATTCTTAAGCTCATACATCACATAATCTAACATGCTGCTACACATGTGGGTGTTTGTGTTTCATACATGCTCAGAGTCCTGCAAACACATGGCCCAGATGTGTTCTGCATCTGCCTCAGCTGGCTGCTCCATCTGCAAGGCCAAAAGCAATATTAATCATTTCATGTTAAGGGGATGGGACCTCCTCTCATATTTCAGAAAGGGGCTGGGAACTAAAGACAGCCAAAGATTTCCCTATTTAAGGCCAAAGGAATGGAATTTCTGTGGCTGAGTTCTGTGCAAGGCCCGGTGGCTGACGGGGCAGGAAAAAATTGATGGTGCTCTTTTGATTGTTCTCCCCCTCTTTTTTTCTTCTCTTTTGCACATAGAGTCTCATGTCTAATTCGTTAGGCATGATGAGCTGTGTGCAGAGAGTCATTTTGCTTTTCTTTGCTGTGTTGCATTCCTTAGTTGTTTTGGCACAAGAACAAGAGGGTGAGTAATTCCCAATTAAGACTTTATGAATTTCAACCACTTTTTAAAAATCCCTTTTATTTCTGAGCTTGCCAGAGATCAGAGCTTAGCAAATCCATTTTCTGTCTACGGGTTCGACACTGTGAAATAACTAAGGGGGTTCCGCTCAGTTCTGCAGCATGATGTAGCCGAGCCTTAAAAGGAAGAGACTTTCTCCCGGCTTAAGCCTTCTCTGCTGTTTTTCTCAGCTTCAGCTCTTTGCATCCCGACTCGCTTTGCTTGACAAGCACTGGAACATTTTTAACAGTCCTTTCTTTTAGCTCTTGGGAGAAAGTCTGGAAGTCTTTGTTGAGTGAAATCTGGGAGACATTTGTCATCTGTGATAAGACTTTAATTTCAGCCACTCGCTACATAACCACTCTTTGTTTTATAGGAAGCGTATCTTTGATGTTGCAGGAATATGAATCTTAAAAAGTAGCATTTGATGCAAAAGGAAGCAATTTGTGGATACAGCTTTGGGAGTGGGAGGGAATTTCCAACTCAGTGTGTGTGAGTGTGCTTTAGTTCTGAGACGTAAGCAGAAGGATAAGCAAATGTGTATAGCTCAGATCCTCTGATCACCCATCCAAGTCTGCCGCAAGCTCTTGTGTGATCTGCTAGTAGCAAACTACTTCAGGGTGCAAATTCACACATGCTTACCTGGGAGTAGACCCAACTGAGTACAGTGACATTTACATCTGAGTAAATGTGCATAGACCTGGGTGGGCCATGAAAAGCAAACTCAGAAATGGATTTATACTAAAGTACCAGTGCAGTCAGTCAAGTTGCTACTTTGTTTTCATTTTAGGAATCGAATCAGTGGATATGCTTGAAGCCTTGGGTTATGTTTCAAGAACTGTGCAACACTTCTTTTGATTCAGGCTTTGAATATGGAAATGTATAGCTTTGAATATAGGAATGCATAGCTTGGTTGATTAAATGATGTAGGAAATTTCCCTTAGAGCTTATCAGAGTCAAACATACTTATACAGTCCGTTTCTGTAATTATAAAAAAGGATTATTTGAATCAATAGGAAAAATATTCCAAAATCCAGGCCTGAATGGGAGTCTTTCTGCATCAGGTTTTTTTTTTTGGGGGGGGGGGATTTGTTTGATTGCATATTCAGTTAAATAAAAGACAAGCTTTGTTTATGAAGAAGGCAAGCATTATACACATGCAAGAAAATGAACCACATATAGCCATGTTAAGCACTCTGTAAAGACTGTATAGTTGAAAATAAAACTTCCTAACTTTTCTAAACTTCCATGGTGCTGTTTTGAAGAAATGCATCCTTCAGATATCATTTGCTAAAATTCAGATGCCAGTCTCTCTCTCTCTCTCTCTCTCTCTCTCTCCCCCCACCCCCACCCCAACACACACAAAAACAGACATACATCACAATATGGATTTTCCAATCTACCTTCCCTGTATGCTTTATCCTTGATGCAACAATTGCCGTGTGGTTCTTTATTTTTCTTTGTTTGAAACAGGATGTTTCATGAGCACCCACCCTCATCCATCCATCCATCTACCCATTCATTAGCTATCAGCTATCCATCTTCCAAACTGTAAGAAATAATGCTTGCCAGTAGAGAAGTACACAGATTTTCAGTTAGTCATGAATAGGAACCTCCTTCTATATCCTCCGCCCCCAGCTTTTCACACCCCGCTGGAGTCAACTACTTATTTCCCACAGCTTCTAATGCATCTGGCTTTCCTTACGGTTATCATTGCATGCTTGATAACAATGTTTGGCTCTGGTTTTAAGAAAAATATGTGATGAAGTTGGGAAAGTGTGATGAAGAAGCCAAAAACGTATCCAAAAATGCCCCTTGATTCTTGTTCTTCCTGTTGTCATTATCTGAATTCTAAATGGGTTCTCTAAGAGACAGAGAGAAATTGAATTACCGTAATTCTAGTGGACAGTCTTTTTCAACCCATGCAAGGTTTTCTGTACAAAATACCAGGTAAAGTGGTTGAAATGCATGTTTCCATGCAATCCAAGTGATCGGGATGGCATTCTGTGTCTTTTACTCCCCACAATGGCCTTCGTGTCTTTAACAGCAGGGCAAAGTGTTGAGAGATACAACCCAGGCAAGGAGGCAGCTATGGGCCGGGATGCAATGGGATGCCTCTAGGATGCAAAGTCCTGGATGCACTAAACTGCCCTGTTACCTGTCGAAAATAATGTTTCTACATTGAGCATCAAACGAACGTATACTTTTTTCTTAGCATATCTAGCCAAATATTTGGAAAAACATCAAGGGAAATACTGGGGATGCAGTGAGCTTACAGTGATCAGGTTGTCAGATTCAGAAAAGGATTTCTTCTTTGTTAGGTTGTTGTATTAGCAACAGTAACTAAAAAAGGGAGAAGAAGGAGATTTGATCCATTATTCTATCATGCCTCTCTGTGAGCACTTAGCTAAAAGAGCACCAGAACATGCTTGAATTATAGCATCAGTTGTAACAACCGGCCGTCAACATACCCCATTTTTTATCCCTTGATGCTGATCTTATAGTTGGGCTGTTATGACATCTTGCAGAGCCCTGGCTATGGTTACTTGGGGCGGGGTGGGAGGATCCCACAGTCATAGCTGATAGTTGCTGTGCTAGTCTGGTAAGGATCCTTTCCTTGTAAATCACTGTGAGCTTGAGATTAACCAAGCTTAAGTTTTCTGGTTTGATTCAACCACGGAGTCAAGTCTTCTTTTTCCAGCTCCACCGCTCCAAAGGTCAAGTAGCAAACCCTCTACTACAGTGAAGGGCCACCTAGTGGCTGATTGTACTCCTCACTCCCTACCTGCCTGCTCCCTCCCTTTGCTGTTGATGTAGTCTATCCATGGTGCCGTACGATCTACATTCATTGATCATATTTGATATTTGTTGTTTCCTATTTATTAACATTTCCATCATTCAACAAGTAGGCCTGAAAGCATTTCATTCAATAGAATGATTCCTTATTAAACTGATAGATAAACGAGTTCCTGGGTTGCTCCCCAGTTTGCCTTCTGAGAATTTCCAACATATCTTCAAAATTTTAGCTAAAACCAAACTAAAAAAGTTCCATATTTAACCATTATGTTGCAGCCATGATGAATGAGTGCTGGGATTCCTTGCACTCTTGCATCTTCAGGTTTGACATCTCCTTTTGACTTGAGTGCATAATGAAAAGTGGATGTGTTAAAAGCATTGTAGACATCATGGATAAATTAATTTGTTTTGGGCACTTAATGGTATATTTTTGAAAACAGGTACAGCCACATTTAGAGTGTGGCTGATGTGAAAATGCAGGACACAAACATGTTTGACTCAGCATAATCTACTAGATTGTCTTTGAAAAGCATGGCAAAAACATCTGAGTCGATTATTCCTCCACCCCACATCAATGCCATCCTCTAAGATCCAATTCTGGCTGCCACTTCCTTATGACTGGATCCCAGCCTAGACCAATGATGTCTAAATCTGATAATCATGTGGTATTGGCAGCACATGTAGGTCACCCTACCAGCACAGTGCCTTCCTGGGGGTTAGTGGCACCGGATAGATCATGCTCTACCCATACTATGTGATTATTAGATTTATATGCTAGTCTTGGAATCCAGCCATGCTTGAACAGCAACCACACACAACAGAGGTCAGACGTAGATCCATTTAGATTTCCACTCCCCAAAAGAGTTGCTGAATAGTTGCAGCCATGTTTCATCTGCAATAAGGCTTTGGTTGAGGAATCAAAGCACCTAGCATGATCTTCTGGTTTTTCAATTACAATCTAAGCTTTTGCTGACCTGCACAAGCAGCGGGCATTAATGATGCTTGTTGGCATCCACATGATGAAATTAGTGGACCAAACTCAAAATTGCAAGGCAGAGTGCAGGAGTGGAGTTGTCATGTGGGTCTCTTTCATTGGTTATCAAAGAGACCTGATGTACACATTGAATGGTTCCTCTCCTCGCTCAGTAAAGGTGTGCAGTGGCCAAAGTTGTGGTGCAGGACACAAACACCATTCCTGAGCGATGCCATGTATATAACTGGTGCGAAATGTTGTACTTTCCACTGAATCGTTAGGGCTAAAGGTTACATACAGCATAGCCATGGTCTCTGCCAATTCAAGGTCTAATATGTTTATGTTATAAAATTATCACTTGATCCAAATTATCCCAGAGCTTTCAATTGTCATAGCCTGACTACATGCATTATTTACTTTCCATAAAAAACCCCATTTAAAGAATCTGATTGTATTATACCACGTTTCTACTCTTGTCCCTGTTTGACTTTAAAACCTGAAAGCTGGCTAAAATATGTAGGTTTAAATTCCTTTAATGGGTCCCAATTGAGCCAGGAGCAATAAATGCACTTTTCCCAATTAATGTGCTTGTGTTCATGCAGTACATAAGGTCAGTAGGACAAAACAGAATTGTCCATGAGCTGCTTGATCCCCGAGCCAGGGGTGGGCATGTCCAATGCCAGCTAAGTTTTGACACGCACTTAATCTGCGCCTTGGCTTCCTGTAGATCAGCATCCCCAGAGTCAAGTATTCCCCATTCACGAGGGCGTGCGGATGCGTGGGGAGACTTGGCGAGGCTTCTGGGCAGTCCTGTCCCCAGAGTGCTCACAGTGGATTACTGACTGCCTTAACAGTTCATGTGCTTGATTGATTCCTCCACAGCTGAACCATTTGCCATCTCCTCTTTCCACCAATCCCATTTCCAACTCCCACATGTTTCTACTTCATATTTGGAAAGGGTGGGGAGCTTGGATGTGAAGTGAGCTGAGCAAGATATGTTGGGAAGTCCAAACTTTAAGGAATCCTGAGTAAGAACACACAGCTGTGCTCAACTTGTTTGCACAATTTTGATTGTCACCGTTAAAATAAGAGCATTCTTGAAAGTGAGTGCCTGGGGATTAAAGTGTTGCAAATTTAGCCTTCAGCATAAAAATTATCTGTGACTTCCTGCCATTTAGAAAAGTCCAAATCCAAA